ATGTTGCAGTGGCTGGCTGTAGCTTGATAGTGTTGAGACTTAACCCCTTATGCCACCAAGGAGGTCCCTTAAAGTCTATTTTGAAAGATATTGTAGCCTCTGAAAATGTTTGATATCAGTGAGAATTAACTACTCCCATATATCCTTGTTTACTGGGCTCTGCTGAAAATGAGAGCTGTATGTATGGGTGTTTACTCACAAGCAGCCACAAAATATTTCATATAGTCAGGAAATTCTTGAAGTTCTAACCCTGCCATTTTAGATGCACCGCCAATTTGCATGAAAGATGTATTCAAAGCAGAAGCAATGATACTTCAAAGGTGGGTCCTGTTACCTTTGTAATTAGCACCAGGCAACTAGACATTCTGAACCAGAGATACTCAAAATATAGTCTCTGAGGCCAGCAGCATCTGTTTCACCTTGAAACTTGCTACAAATGCAAATTTTCAGCACCTACAAAACCTGCTGAGCCAGAAAACCTCTGAGAGTGAGGTCTAGCAGTCTGTGTTTTAGTGAGACTTCCTGGATATTTAAATCTCCCTAAAGTTTAAGAATCTCTACTGTAGAATAATTAGCCTCTGGTGCCTTCCTAAAGATAAAGATCATAAATTCATCTGGTTCTTACTCTCTTCATATTTTAGCCAATCCACAGATCTTTTTTTTTTAAGATTTATTTATTTATTTATACAAGAACTGGGATACAGGCCAGATTTGCAGGAGGGTGAGAAGATTCACCAGAGAAAGAGCGGGGAACAGAATAGGCAGACTGACGAAATATACTGCTGAGGGGAGCAGCGGGCAAGACAGGAGAGGTCTGCCGCACCATTTGGGACCTTCACCGGCCAGCCGGGATCGAACTGGTGCTGCAGAGGCTGCGGACAGCTTCACACAGCGCAGTGCTCAACCGCCTGAGCCACCAGGGGAGGCCCCAATCCACATATCTTAAATACTTTTAACTTCACCAATGATAGTCCATTTCTAAAATTTACTATGCTATTTAACAAACTAATTTCACCACTAAAAATCCTACTTTGCTACTTAATACAGTCTCAGAAATGATCGATCTTGATCAAGACATGAATAATTGCCTCTGGGGTTCCTTATTTCCTTAGAACGCTAGCTGAGCACCTGTGCATTCCTGATTGAGAGAATAGAGACACCTGCACTGTTAACTTATACTGTTGGTGCTGAAGAGTTTTAAAGTAAATTACAGGGTTTTTACCAGAAGGGAAGGAAAAAATGGAGATGATCTGTGTGTGCATACGTACATGTTCAGAAGGAAAGAGAGAGGAACACAGTTAATGACCAAGAAAAAGAAGTCAGGAGAGAAATATTGAAAGGTTGAAGATACAGTGAGTGTTCAGAAAACGGTGAAGATTTAGAACAGCTAACAGGGACTGGACAAGGGCACTGACTAAAGATAAGGATGGTTTTCGGGCATGGTTAAAAACCCAACTCTATTATTTTTCCTAATTGAAGAGAAATTGATGTTCATCTGAAATACATGGGTGTATGAAAAGTATTTAAGACCCAGTAGTATATACACCTGTTATGGTTTTTGCCCTGCCTGGCGAGAGTTTTGTAAAATTTAGCTAAAGAGTGCCATCTTCTGGTACTAAGGAGTATGTGCAAACAGAGGGAGTTTCCACTGTTCAGTGGAATCTTAGTAATAAAATCTTAGAACCAGAGAAACCTTTGATGTTTGGGGCTAATACAAGAACTATTATAAAGTTAAACATTCTTTATAGTTTTTTGTCTTTTTAGTTATGAGATCATTTTACTGCCATTTTTTGCGTGTAGACATGTCTGAAAAATAAAATTGTGTATGTCCAACCATCCTTTACTTACAAACGTGGGGAATTTGCTTTTAGTTTGTGATGGAAGCCCTAAGTTGATGAGCTCTATTCAGGCCTCTATTTTCTTCTTTTTTTCCTAATAAACCTGTCCTTTTAAAATGTAACCTTTGGGGAAAAAATGAAATGGAGGGGAGGAAGGGGGAGAGAGAGAGAAAGAGAGGAAAGAAGAGAGAGTGGAAGGGAGGCATGAGGGAGGGAGGAAGGATTCAGGAACCAAAGGTCAGAACAATTGAAAGGGTAATTCTAACTCTTATCCCAGAAGATATTCATCAATAGAATTGCCCTTTTTCTGGATAAAACCCCAGGATTAACTTCATTTATCCATTCAGTTAGTGCTTTTTTATACACTCGGTAATCTGTCTAGGTTTGTGTAAAAATCCCAGGAACAAAGCTGATCCTGCTTTGAGTTGCTCCAGCACAGAAATGAGCGTGATCAGAGCCCACTAGTTGGAACACCGGAGATAGGCATCTAACAGTGTTGTCTTTAAACCCGCTCTGCATTTCTTCTTCAAGTGATTCCAGTTGAGGGAAAGCTGACTGTTGAGGTTCAGATTCCAGCAGCAACACTCATCTGCTCTGTAATTTTATTTTTAAGATTTAAAAAAAATTTATTTATGCTTACAAGTTCTCGAGTATAGGCCAGAGGTGGGGGTGAGTATGTGAGGATTCACCAGAGACAGAGTGGGGAGCAGAACAGGTGGGTCTACTGAAATACACTGCTGTGGGGAGCAGTGGGCAAGACAGGAGAGGTCTGCTGTGCTATATGTGGGTCAGCTTCCTGGCCAAGGATCAAACTCATGCTGCAGTGGCTGGCGATAGCTTGATAGCACTGACACTTTACCCCTGGGCCACCAGGAGGCCCCTGCTCTATAAGTTTCTTTCTTTCTTTTTTTTTTTTTTAATATTTATTTATTTATGCATACAAGAACTAGGGTTCAGACCAGAAGTGTGGGAGGGTGAGAGGATTCACCAGAGACAGAACGGGCAGATGACTGAAATACACTGTTGTGGGGAGCAGCAGGCACGACAGGAGAGGTCTGCTTTGCCATGTGGGTATCTCCCTGGCAGGCCAGGAATCGACCCTGCGCTGCAGAGGCTGTGGACAGCTTCACAGTGCTGTGCTCAACCCACTGTGCCACCGGGGAGGCCCTCTATAAGTTTCTTAACGTCTCTTGCCTCCATTTCTTTATCAATAAGGTAAAGGTAAAGGTAATACCTGTTTCGTAGGGAGATTGTGAGCACTGAAGAAATATACACAAAAAACTCAAGAACAGTGTTGACATATAGAAAATAATGTGTCGGGCCTCCCCGGTGGCGCAGCGGTTGAGCGCTGGGTTGCGAAGCTGCCCGCGGCCTCTGCGACGCCGGTTCGATCCCCAGCTGCTCCCCGGCCACCAGAGGAGGGTCCCACATGGCGCGCAGACCTCTCCTGCCGCCCGCTGCTCCCCTCAGCAGTGTACTTCGGTCCTTCTGCCTGCTCTGCTCCCCGCTCTGGCTCTGGTGAATTCTCTCACCCTCCCGCGCTTCTGACTGTACCCAGTGCATGTATAAACAAAACAAACAAACAAATAAATAAATAAATAAAACATGCCTCTATTAAAAAAAAAAAAATTAAAAAAAAAAAAGAAAATAATGTGTCAAACACTTCCTTGTGCCTACCATCTCTGCAACAAATCTTAACTTTTTGCTGTATTTGTTTCATTTTTTTAAAATCATTTTTATATATTCTTTTTTTAAAAAAAAGATTTATTTGTTTATTTATTTATACAAGCACTGGGTACAGTCAGAAGTGTGGGAGGGTGAGAGAATTCACCAGAGCCAGAGCAGGGAGCAGAGCAGGCAGAAGCAGGAGAGGTCTGCGTGCCGTGTGGGACCCTCCTCCGGTGGCAGGGAGCTGCCGGGGAATGAACTATTTCATTTTTAAAAAGAAAAAAACAATGCAAGATTCAATGGGCTGTTTCACAGGGGTCATCCTATTGATACATATGTTTTCTTGGGAAGTTGTCCTTTCAATCTGTAAAGTGCTTTCACTTATATGAAATTCCTTTGCTTTCTACTTTGAATATTTTTTCTTTTCTAATTTTTTCTATTCTCTCCCATATGGATGTGCTGGATATCCTTTAATTTTTATATCTATGATTTTATCTCATATTCTTTTGAATTCATTTTAAATTTCCCTGTAATTTCACTCACTTTTCTCAACCGCAGATGTCTTACTGTGTTGTTGTCTTTGCCTCTTTCTCTTCCCCACCCTCCCATTTATAATGTGTCTTTAATTTGTAGGGTTTTTATCTTCTTCCTTTCTGAGTTCTGCTAGATTTTGTTACATTTCCTGTAATCTCATCATTGTTTCTTCAGCTGGGTGGTCTTATTTTACACTGTTGTATTAAGGCTTTTGGATTCATAGCAATATACTTGGTCTGCTTCATGGCAATGTTTTCCTGGATAATTTCTTTATCTAACATTTGCTTTTTTCTGTTTCTTTCCTCTTGTAGATTTGTTATACAGCTCACATGTTCTTTCCTCTCAGTTATTACTCAGTCCTAAATTAAATGAGTTCTTTCTCAGTCAGCTATTTGCAGAAGTGATAGGGGCAGGTAATCTGGATTCTGGTATAAAATGCATTGAATTTGGCAGGCCATCCTCATTTATTGTACCTTCAGGTTACATTGGTATCATATTTTATTAAAGATGGAATTTATATTTCTTTTCCTTATTTTCTTTTTTGCCTTTTGGGTGATAAAGAAGTAACTTTGTCTTAGTACTTTAAAATATTTTGATATTTTCAACTTTGCTTTTTAATGTATTTTAAAACCAGAGCTATTTTTAAAAATTCATTGACTCTATTCTTAGAGAAAATGGTAACATATCACATCAGACCATGTTAAATGGGAAAAACAGTTTGAAAATCCTGTACTTACCCTAGTTGTAACAATATTTCTTATTGTCATCTAGCTAGTAAGAGACAGCTTGAATTCAAATCTGTCCGAATCCACCAAGTCTGAGTTTTTTTTATCTGAGGTTTTTTTTTTTTTTTTTTTTTGTAGAGCTTTCTTTTAAAGAATACAGACATTTCTTTATTGTATCTTATGTTTCTTTTCATGAACATTTTTTTTAACTGCTTTCTTATTTTCTGATTTTTAGTGTGACAAATACAAGACTGGAGTTATTGATGGGCCTGTGTGTAATAGTCTTTGTGTTACAGAAACTCTTTACTTTGGAAAATGCTTATCCACGAAACCGAACAACCAGGTATGGACATTATGAATCAACATTCCCAATTGATAGTGTACACTAATTTTTACCTTAAACTAAAGCATTCCTAAAAGAATTTTTGAACCAGCTCTTTTAGGGTCTTTTATATAAGTTGAACCTTGAACAACATGAGTTTGAGCTGCTTGAGTCTACTTAGATTTTTTTCAACTGCTCCTCTTCTTCCTCCTCCCCAGACTAATTCGTGTGAAGACTGTAAGGATGAAGACCTTTATGGTGACAGTCCACTGATGATTTTATTAATAACATTTTTTCTAGCTTTATTGTAAGAAAACAAAGAAAACAATACAACATGTTAAAGATGCTCAGTTTCACTACTTCTGCTCAACACAGGGAAGTTTTAGCCAGATCACTTAGAAAAGAAGAGGAAATAAAAAGCATCCAAATTGGAAAAGGAAAATGTAAAATTATCTCTCCTCGCAGATGACAAAGATCTTATATGTAGGAAAACCAAAAGATTCCACAAGAAAATTGTTAGAGCTAATAAATGAATTCAGCAAAGAAGTAGAAACAAAGTCAACACAAAAAAATCAGTTGTATTTATGTACACTAACAATGAACAATCCAAAAAGGAAATGAAGGAAACTGCTGGAGACCAGCCCCAGCTAGAAGTTGTATCAGGGGTCTCAGAGAGGAGAGGACGGCGTCGGCCAAGTTTTCTCTCAGAGGACTGAAGGGAAGTGGAGCAAGGTAGGAGTGAGGTAGACACAGACTCCTTAGTTCGTGCAAGTATCTCCTACTGAGGGTCTCAGTGGGTCTTTATTTATACCTTAAGGCAAGCGGTGGGATTACATCAGCATAAGCATTAAAGCAGAGCAAAGACAATACATATTTTCTCATGATCATGTAAAGACTCCCTTGGCCTTACACCTGTAGGCCATTTTTTGGTAATCTAAGAACAATTAGTTGCCTAGGTGCAGCTCATTTACTAGCATGATAAACAGTATAACATTTGGCAACATTTAAACTTTCCCAAACATGGGTGTAAAGTTCCTATTCTATATCCAATTACTGAAATCAATCTATTTCCTAGCACTAGATTAACTTGGTTAATATTTTTATTACCTCAAAGTGGTTTAAAACAATTCATCAGATCTACGTAAGTTCTGCTGAAGACTAACTCTAAACTAGAAATTCCAAACCTCCACACGGCCTGCGAATTATTGACCTCATACACCAGGAAATGTATTGTTGCCGCAAACAGGTACCTCCCATGTTAGGCTATGGTTTCCAAGCATAGCTGGTTCAGGGCAGCTTGTTCTCCATAGTTCTCAAGGCCAAAACATTTTTTTCCTAACTATACCTAAAATAATTTTTTTACTTCTTTTGTGATAGTTCATGCGTAAGAACAGTAAGCCAATTGTCACCTGGGTCCGAATTAGGTTTTCACATGCCAGTTAATAACTAACTTACTTCAGCATTGACCAAAAACAAAGAGGAGAGCATTAGCAGGCGTTGCCATGGAGACTCCCTAGTTCAGATCTTCTTTGGGAAGTGTAAGAACTTCCTTCTTCTGGGAAGTACAACTTTCCCTCTTTGGGGGAGCACAGGAACTCCCCGCTTCTCGGGAGTCTCCCCCAATGCCCAGACCTTGTCAAGAGACAGCATGGGAGGTGCAGCCTGCCGCAAGAAACAGCTTCACTTACATAGCATTAAAAGAATAAAGTCCTTAGGAATTAACTTCACCAAGGTGGCAAGAGGCTTGTACAATGAAAACTTCAAAATACTGCTGAAAGAAATGAAAGACATAAATAAGCCAATGGAAACACTTCCCATGCCATTAATTGGAAGACTTAATATAGTGATCTACAGATTAAATACAATCTCAAAACAAAAGTCCAATGACATTTTTGCAGAAATAGACAAACACATCCTAAAATCATACAGAATCTCAAAAGATCCCAAATAACCGAAATGATCTCAAAAAAGAACTCTTCCATTCTGCTGGTGCTGGTAGCTGGGCTCACTGCTGCCCTTGGTCGTGGGGCCATTGTTGGCACAGAGATGGCAGCATTGATGATGAACTTACTCAGATTGTATGAGACTCTTGGGTACATATACTTGTCCCTGGGGAATTTGCCTTTGGATATTATCTCACAGAATGATGAAAAAGCAAACTGCCTTCCTGAGTAAGAATATGTTATTTAAAAGAGAATTAAGATCTACTGAAGAAGTTACCTGGAAGTAAAAGCTGACTGAATTACAGAATGTTCACTTTGTAAAAACTATGAGAGAAATGCATATTTAGTATTTCATTTGAAAAGAAAAAGAACCACAAAACTGGAGGACTCACACTTCCTTATTTCAAAACTTACTACAAAGTTGCAGTAATCAAAGCAGAGTGGTGCTAGAATAAAGACAGACACACAGACCAATGAAATGGAATAGAGCCCAGAAATAAACTATCACTTTTATAACCAAATGATTTTTCACAAGGATGTTAAAATCATTCAATAGGGAAGAGACTTGTCTTTTCAACATGGTGCTAGAAAAATTGAATATCCACATGTAATGAATTTGGCTCTTCCCTAACCCCATATTCAAAATTAAGTTAAAATGAACCAAAGACATAAATGTAAGCATTCGGGCCTCCCTGGTGTTGCAAGGGCTTAAGTCTCAGCCACTATGAAGCTATCGGCAGCATGAGTTCAATCCCCAGCCAGGGCACTAACCCACCTGGTGCAGCAGACCTCTCCCGTCTCGCCTGCTGCTCCCCTCAGCAGTGTATTTCAGTCAATCTGCCTGTTCTGTTCCCCACTTTGTCTCTGGTGAATTATCTCACCCCCCGCACATATGGCCTGTACCCCAGTTCTTGTATGCATAAATAAATAAATCTTAAAAATGTAAGAACTAAAATTATAAAACTTAAAATGTAGGGCAAAAGCTTCATGACATTGGATTTGACAAATGATTTCTTGGATATAACATCAAAGACACAGACAACAAAAGTAAAAATAAACTAATTGTACTTCATGAATATTTAAAATTTTGTACATCAAAAGCCCATATCAGGGCCTCCCTGCTGGCACAGGTGTTGAAGTCTCAGCGCTGTCAAGCTATTGCCAGCCACTGCAGCATGAGTTTGATCCCCAGCCAGGGAGCTAACCCACCTGGCGCAGCAGACCTCTCCTGTCTCACCCGCTGCTCCTGTCAGCAGTGTTTTTCAGTAGATCAGCTTCTTCTCCCCACTCTGTCTCTGGTGAATCCTCTCACCCCTCCTATGGCCTGTACCTATGGCCTATACCCTAGTTCTTGTATGCATAAATAAAAATAAATCTTAAAAAAAATACTATATCAATAGAGTAAAAAGGTCACCTATAGAATGGGAGAAAATATTTACATATCATACAATAAAGTAAGGGTTTAATATCCAGAATATATAAAGAAGAACTAAAACTCAACAACAGAAGTCAAATAACTGGAATCAAAAAATGGGAAAGAGACTTTGAGGAATGGAGAGTTACTGTGTAATGGGTAGAGAGTTTGGGTTTTACAAAGTAGGAGTTCTGGAGATGGTTTCCAGTGATGGAGGCACATTATAAAGGTGATACCACTCAGGTATATACTAAAAATGATTTAAATGGTGAATTGTATGTTTTTTATATTTTACCACAGTAAAACATTGGGGAAACACTAAAATTGGTGATCATGGTCAAAAATGTGTATTTAGGCATGTATTTCTTTTGTAATTTTAAAAGATAAGGGAAAATGTCTGGAAGTATGAAATTTGCAATTCAGAATAAAATTCACAGCTTAATCTCTATGTTTTGCTGGTTGTTTGTGTGTTTTTTAGAGGAGAGCACTAAAAATATAGTAGTAGGTTTTTCTTCTCCTCTGCCTAACACATAACTTGTTCTTTTTCACATAGATGTATTTAGGGATTTGGGATAATCTACCAGGTGTTGTGAAATGTCAAATGGAGCAAGCACTTCATCTTGATTTTGGAACTGAACTGGAACCAAGAAAGGAAATAGTGCTCTTTGATAAGCCAACTAGGGGAACTACTGTACAGAAATTCAAAGAAATGGTCTACAGCCTCTTTAAAGTAAGTATATCCATGCACACGTTACTAGTGTGAAGCTGCACATTCTTCTGTAAAAGTTGGAAAGCTCTTATCCTAAACCATAAAAATGTTGCTATTCTTTGGCCTTTATCAGGGACTACATCTTGAGTAATTCAAAGACAAAAATATATAAAGGATGTTTACTTAAGTATTCTTGACACTAGCTAAAAATGTCCAGATGTGAGAGGGAAATTCATTAAATAGATGTGCTGCTATGTACCATCATCCTTTCAGCAGAGGAACCCTTGCAGATACCAAAAATCCATGGATGTTCAAGTGCCTTATATAAAATGGTTTATTTGCATATCACCTACACACATCTTTAAATCATCCCTAGATTATTTGTAATGCCTTATACAGTATAAATGCTCAATGAATAGTTGTCATACTGTATGCTTAGGGAATAATGATAAGGGAAAAAAGTCTGTACATGGTCAGTACAGACACAACCATTATAGGCCTAACTATATAACATGTATTTTCGATTCCTAGTTGATTGAATCCACAAGTGTGGAATCTACAAATACAGAGAACCAACTGAAGTTTGGCATTATAACTGATACTTTTTTTTTTTTAAGTGACCTAAAATTAATACAGGGCCTCCCTGGTGGCACAGTGGGTAAAGACACAGCACTGTCAAGCTCTCTCCAGCCATTGCCTCATGAGTTCCATCCCTGGCCAGGGAGCTACCCACATGGCACAGCAGACCTCTCCTGTCTCACCCACTGCTCCCCTCAGCAGTGTATTTCAGTAGATCCTCCTGTTCTGCTCCCCACTCTGTCTCTGGTGAATCCTCTCATCCCCCATACCTATGACCTACACCCAGTTCTTCTATGCATAAATAAATAAAATAAATTTTTTAAAAAGTTTATTAAAAAATAAATAAAATAAAATAGTAGACTCTGAGTGCAAAGTATTTTTTAAAAATTGAAATAGGGCCTCCCTGGTGGCGCAAGGGGTTAAGCCACAACCTATGAAGCTATCTGTAGCCACTGCAGCACGAGTACAATCCCTGGCCAGGGAGCTACCCACATGATGCAGCAGACCTCTCCTGTCTCACCCACTGCTCCCCTCAGCAGTGTAATTCAGTCAACCTGCCTGTTATGTTCCCCACTCTGTCTCCTGTGAATCCTCTCACCCCCCCACACACACCTCTGGCCTGTACCCCAGTTCTTGTATGCATAAATAAATAAATCTTTTTTAAAAATTGAAATAGGAGGCCTCCCCGGTGGCACAGCGGTTGAGCGCTGGGTTGCGAAGCTGCCCGCGGCCTCTGCGGCGTCGGTTCGATCCCCGGCTGCTCCCCGGCCACCAGAGGAGGGTCCCACATGGCGCGCAGACCTCTCCTGCCGCCCGCTGCTCCCCTCAGCAGTGTACTTTGGTCCTTCTGCCTGTTCTGCTCCCCGCTCTGGCTCTGGTGAATTCTCTCACCCTCCCGCGCTTCTGACTGTACCCAGTGCATGTATAAACAAAACAAACAAACAAACAAATAAAAAAAAAAAAAAGAGTATTAAAAAAAAAAAATTGAAATAGGGCCTCCCTGGTAGCGCAGTGGTTGAGTGCTGGGTTGCGAAGCTGCCTGCAACCTCTGCAGTGCTGGTTCGATCCCCAGCTGCCAGGCAAGGCGCCTGCCCGCTGCTCCCCTCAGCAGTGTACTTCGTCTTTCTGCCTGTTCTGTTCCCCACTCTGGCTCTGGTGAATTCTCTCACCCTTCCATCTGACTGTACCCAGTGCTTATATAAATAAGTAAATAAAATTTTTAAAAATGAACTTTAAAAAAAAAAATTGAAATACTCAAAGATTAATTAGAATGTTTAAAGATGAAGTTACAATTTTAGAAAGCATCTCTTTCTTGTTTTATTACTGTTATATTTTCTTTTTTTAATATTTATTTATGCATACAAGAACTGGGGGACAGGTCAGAGGAGGGTGAGAGGATTCACCAGAGACAGAGTGGAGAATAGAACGGGCAGATTGACTGATATATACTGCTGAGGGGAGCAGCGGGCGAGACAGGAGAGGTCTGCTGTGCCATATGGGTAGCTCCCTGGCCAGGGATTGAACTCATGCTGCAGTGGCTGCAGATAGCTTCATAGGTTATATCTTAATCCCTTGCACCACCTGGGAGGCCCCTATTATCTTCTTTTTTTTTAAGATTTATTTTTATTTATTTATGCATACAAGAACTGGGGTATAGGCCAGAGGTGCAGGTGGTGAGAGGATTCACCAGAAAAAAAAAATGGAGAGCACAACAGGCAGATCCACTGAAACACACTGCTGAGGGGAGCAGTGGGCGAGACAGGAGAGGTCTGCTGTGCCATGTGGGTTAACCTCCTGTCCAGGGATCGAACTCATGGCAGTAGCTGGCGATAGCTTGATAGTGCTGAGACTTTAACCCTGGAGCCACCAGGGAGGCCCTTACTGTTTATATTTTCACTGAAAATCTTTCCTTTCTTTGGACAGTTTACATTTCAGTCTGTTTTATTGAGAACAACTTCTCAGGGAAATGGTTTTAATATTCCTAATTGGAATAATACAACTTGAACAGAGTATTTTGTTAATGTGATAACTACAAAATGGGGGAAAATTCTCAGTTGAGCCTTATAACTCTGAATAGGAGTACATTACACTGCAGTTGTGCAAGTAAAAAATGTTTAGGTCTTAACTGTCTACAGATCTAAGGGAACTACAGAAGTTAGCGTGACTTTTCCTATTACCAGATATACTTAAAGTATGTTGCTGCAATTAGAGGACATTACAGTGCTGATTCACTTAGTAAGCATTATAAATATTTAGCGATATTAAGTTCTTTATGGCATTTAGTAGCAGGATTATTACTTAGCATGGTAATAATTAGTATGTTACATGTGAAATAATTTTCATTCTGTGTAATTAGCCAAATTCTTATCTTTATAGGCAAAATTGGGTGACCAAGGAAACCTCTCTGAACTGGTTAATCTCATCTTGACAGTGGCTGATGGAGATAAAGATGGTCAAGTTTCCTTGGGAGAAGCAAAGTCTGCATGGGCACTTCTTCAATTAAATGAATTTCTTCTTATGGTGATACTTCAAGATAAAGAACATACCCCCAAATTGATGGGGTTCTGTGGTGATCTCTATGTGATGGAAAGTGTTGAATATACCTCTCTTTATGGAATCAGTCTTCCATGGGTCATTGAGCTTTTTATTCCATCTGGCTTTAGAAGAAGCATGGATCAGTTGTTCACACCATCATGGCCCAGAAAGGCTAAAATAGCCATAGGACTTCTAGAATTTGTGGAAGATGTTTTCCACGGTCCCTATGGAAACTTCCTCATGTGTGATACCAGTGCCAAAAACCTAGGATATAATGATAAGTATGATTTGAAAATGGTGGACATGAGAAAAATTGTGCCAGAGACAAATCTAAAAGAACTTATAAAGGATCGTCACTGTGAGTCTGACTTGGACTGTGTCTATGGCACGGATTGTAGAACTAGCTGTGATCAGAGTACAATGAAGTGTACTGCAGAAGTGATTCAACCAAACTTGGCAAAAGCCTGTCAGTTACTCAAAGACTACCTACTGGGTGGTGCTCCAAGTGAAATTCGTGAAGAATTAGAAAAGCAGCTTTATTCTTGCATTGCTCTGAAGGTTACAGCCAATCAAATGGAAATGGAACATTCTTTGATCCTCAATAACCTAAAAACATTGCTATGGAAGAAAATTTCCTACACTAATGACTCTTAGTTCATTTGAACATTGTGACCATTGTAGGAAACTTACCACTTAAGAAGTTTTGAACGTTTAAAACAATGGCTTCTGATTCAAATCCTTTTCCCATGGACCTAAGAAACCATCATCTTAAAATGTTGACTGAATGCAGGAGGTATAGATCAACAAATTCAAAGTTTGATTTCATTCCTGCACTTCTAGAAGCCCTGGTACATTTCCCAGTACATTTCACTGTGTAACTGTTTTGACTTAAAATAATGCTGTGAAAAGCCTCATTCCATAAACATCGAGTATTTTGTAGCTTTGTTAGCCAAAATACCATTGCTGGAAACATTGTGTTTGCATTGAAGCTGCTGTTTAAATTTATACCTACTTACTAATGTCTTAGCATGGTAAAGTTTGCACATTAACAGAAATTAAGACTGCGAAGCAGGTAAATTAAAATTATTCCTCTATAAAAAGATGGGTTAATAGCATGGTTTGCATTACAAATACATTCTAACTCATTTAGACATCAAATGTCATGTGGCTTCAGAAATTCAAAATCCACCAAGTGTTCAATTTACTCATTGCCAGTGTTTAAGAGGTTGTAACTAGATGGACTTCAAAGGATCACCCAATTCAAAGGGTTCATTGAAATTGATATGCTAAGGCCAGACTCCATCCAGATCCATTTATCTGAAATGGGAGACATGGGGAAGTGGGACCATGCAATTTTTTAGTAATAACTTCATTTTTGAATAGTATTTCCTATTGGCCAAAGGGCTATTCTGTAAAAAGCATGTAAATGTATTCACCCATTTTCCTCCTGTAAACTTGATATATAGGGGTTAGTATTTGCTCCTTTCATGTTAATTCAGATTTGGCATGTACCTTTCAACATCTCCGTAAAATGAAACGCATCTTTTGGAGAAAAAAAAATATATTTTTTGCTCAAAAGTTTTTCCTAAGGTGAATTATGTTTGTTACCTAACCTTCACCGGACAGCTCTCTAAAAATTAAAGCCATGGGTTAGCACGTTTTGCTTACTTTACAATTGTGTACTTTGAAGGTACTCTTTCTTCCCACTAATCATCTAGTTACAATAAATAAATGGAAGAAATATTTCCTAGTGGATGGTTGGTCTGTTGCTTGCCAAACTTTGGGGAGAGTTACCATCATAAAACTTGAAGGTTAACTTCTTCCAGGGAGACCAGAAGCCCAAGAAGCAGGTGTGAATTTAATCAATATGTAAGACAATCTTTCTGGAAAAGACTTCACTTGTTTCTTCGAGGAAAAAAAGTCAACTCTTGCTTTTTTAAATTTCAGGATTATTTTCTACAGTTTCATTAACAAAAAGCTTTACACAGAAATCATTGCTGGATCAATAATTTTATTATTGTAGTCTTTAAAAATCTCCATTAAAAAATGGTTTGGCTTATTAGCTCTCAGCAGCCCGCTCCTGAGCCCTGAGGAAGCTTGCCTTCTTCTGAGCTACCCGATCTTTCTTCTGGGCAAGAGACATCTTGGGACGGTTCCACCTACAAAACAAAGAGACACAGGATGTAACTTGACGAATTCTACTCCATTCAATGATTAAAATATGAAATTCTCTTCTTTAAGCTATTTAAAGTTCAGTAAGTGGTAATTACATTGTACTAGGATAGAATGGAACACCTCAGTAGTTTCTGAGGCCAGTACATTTCTATCACCACAATTACTTTAGCAAACCTGGTTCCCCTCACTTCTGCAACATCATGCAGAGTTAGTGATCGAGTTTGCACAACTCTTCAAAGATTGAATAAAATGAAATAAGGCAGGGAACCCTCCCAACCTCTTTCTCTTAAAAAGACAACCATGAAACACATACCTCTTCTTCTTAACTTCTTTCTTGGGCTTCTTTTCATAGACTGGATTCTCTCGTATAGCAGCATGAGCTTTCTTATACATCTCCTCCATCTGAAACAAAGCAAAGCAAACAGTACTTGGTTTCATTTCATATGCCCTAAACAATAGTAAAACATACCATATTCTACTACTTGCTCTATTTTGTGCTTATAAGCCAGACTGTCAAAAGGAACTAACTAGGTCAATATTGGTTATCTGCTTAAATTGATAAATGTAAATAATCATTTGCACAAAATTCTAATTTTTTCTCTCAAGCAATGTAAATTGACATTTCACAAAACTTTTAAATTTACATGTATTTCTAAGGAATTCAACTATATGTCACTCAAGTTTAGAAAAAATTGATTTCTGTAAGAAACACACTTTATGCTCACTTAAAATACTGTCTTTCATCTCAGTAATACATGCCAAAACAAAGCATTCAAGGATATTAAGATGAAGAGAATACAAGGCCTATAAGCATTCATGGGATTCACATTTTCCATGGGTGCTAAGTCTTCACAGCTACTTCCAGTACTGCATACCAAAGATCTCTGTTATCTACTACTGAGTCATTAGTATCTAGCAGCAGTACTGGGCCTTTGTGGGAACCAGAAATAAGTCTAAATTTCTCTAGATAATGGTGAAAAGTTAACCAGTTAGGTATGCTGATGAGAACTCTTGTTCAAAAGGTCATAAAACTACTCATTCAAGCTAGAAAAATTATGATTACTACATGCATTTCTATCAAGATTTCTAGCAAACAAAAACAATGAAAAATTTTCAACACACTTGTTTCAAATATCCTAAATCCCCTTTGATAGTTTCTACTTCTTTTAATACTCTGTCTTTAACAAATCCATTTGAAGACTTTAACTAGTCATTTAAAAGATCTAAAAGAGATCTAAGCAACACAGCTCATTCCTTCCACGAAGTCATAAAGTAGGCAATACAACTATGTATGTATATAATACTAGAGTTTAAGACCACTTTCTATTGCAAACACATCAGTTATCTATAGGGATTCAGTAGGCATGCATATAAGGTCTCGGGGCTCCCCGGTGGCACAGCGGTTGAGCGCTGGGTTGAGAAGCTGCCCGCGGCCTCTGCGGCGCGGGCTCAATCCCCGGCTGCTCCCCGGCCACTGGAGGAGGGTCCCGCATGGCGCGCAGACCTCTCCTGCCGCCCGCTGCTCCCCTCAGCAGTGTACTTCGGTCCTTCTGCCTGTTCTGCTCCCCGCTCTGGCTCTGGTGAATTCTCTCACCCTCCCGCGCTTCTGACTGTACCCAGTGCTTGTATAAACAAAACAAACAAACAAACAAATAAATAAAAGATTTAAAAAAAAAAAAAAGAATAAGGTCTCCACAGCAGTTGACTAAATGAGCTAATTGGACAAGTATGTCTGCCAATGAGTGGTTCAGCTCAAGTATAGTCTGTGTGAAGGAGAACATTAAGAAACACATCTGAAATCTGAAAACAAAGTTTTTTTTGTTTTTGCCAGGGAGAACCAGGATGTTTGTCAGTAGTAATATAAAGGAATATTCTAGTATGAAAATGAACATACATCCCATTACTAATATAAAAATACCCTTTTCCTAGCCTGAAAATTCAAACTCCAGACACTACTTTATCTGACCTTTATTTATCCTACTCTGGCTGGGTCCAACACCCCAATTTCATTTTAAAACAAGGACAACTTAATTTTAATCTGTCTATACCTTTGAATATGCCCATAGTCAACTTTTAATTGCTAGCCTGCAATAAAATGATATAATAATGTACCCGCCAAAAATAAGTAGTAAATCTGATTCTATAACTTATCGACATCTTTAGTTAAAATTTTTACCATGTCTGGCGTTACGTTGTTCTTTATGTACTGAGAGAACTGTTTCTTATAAGCATCTTCATCTTCCTCCATTAAGTAACGCATGTAATCTGCAACATTCTGCCCCATGATGTGCTTCCGATGTACTTCAGCATGGAATTCCTTGCTTTCTGAATCATAACCAGGGAATCGTTTGGTACTAAAATAAAATTGTTAATGTTTTAGTATGTGCTGACTGAAATTAGTTCATTAGGAATTCTTTTAGTAGCTGCTATCAGTCCCGTCTTGAAACAATTAATTGCATCATATGCAACCAAAGGACCAACTACTGAATGCTCAGTTAGTAGGACATCATCATCTAGCAGCTAATCTCTGAATTCCAGGATAGAAAAGAAAATCATGCCACAAGCATCTTTAAAAACCAGTAAATGAACCAAGGCTTTCCAACTACTGTAAAGTTACTTCTTAAGCAAAAGTTTCAAAACTGCTCCCAAATTCCTAGACTTTCTCAATGATGCCTTAGGGTACAAGGGGACAAGTGACTTATTGGAAACTATAATAGATGCCTTGCAAGAGAGCTTCAGGTCCTCAAAAAATATACCCCCGCCACCACCTACAAAAGTAAGTTCCAGTTAGGTTACAACTCTATAGGTTTACCATTTTAAAAAGCAAAAACATGAAAATTCCCTATGGTCAGAAAGTTACTTTAACGTGTATCTTAGTTACAAAAAAAGTATTAAAAGGAATAACTAAATTAAAAGACTTACTTAGCTTCTAAAAGCCTTTAATCTCATTTCCAGTCAAAGTTGAGAAATCTATCATGTCTTTTTCTCAAACCCCTAACCCTGTTCACTTTTTCCTTAACAGTAAATCAATGCTCTTTCTGAACGAAAACACCTTAGATAAATCATGTATCTTTGAACTCTGGTCTCTTCATGTATCAATGTGTTTTATAACACTGGCCTGCCAGGATCCTTTTGCACAGTACCTAGCATATAACAGGTACACAGTGACAGTTCATTAACTGATTCAATAACTTTCACAATCAAACCAGTTAATAGCAGAAGTATTGGAATCCAGGCAATGACCCCTTGGATACTATATTACCTGTGAGGAATAGACAAGCCTCCATCCACAGCTCCCTTCAGGGCCCCAAAAACTTTATTCCCTGTAGTAGTTCTGGCAAGTCCAGCATCCAAATAGCAAGTAAAGGCACCTGGCTGACCATCAATGCTTTCCACATTGTATTCATCTCCAGTCACCTCTACTTGGCCTTCATAGATCTTGTCCATGCCGAACCTATTGAGAAGCTATCAATAAAGAAGTCAGTCTAAATACCTATCTGAATATATTCAAGCAACTCTTAACACTATCTCAAGTCCTGACTTCAATGATCTGACATGGGAAAATTTTTCTTCCAATTCATTTATTGGTTTTCCCAAATCACTTTTAATCCACATTTTTACTTTTTATTTTTATTAAAGATTTATTTATTTATGCATACAAGAACTGGGGTACAGGCCAGAGGTATGGGGGGTGAGAGGATTTACCAGAGACAGAGTGGGGAACAGAACAGTGCATTGACTGAAACACACTGCTGAGGGGAGCAGCGGGCTAGACAGGAGAGGTCTGCTTCGTCATGTGGGTTGCTCCCTGGGGCTGTCGGTAGCCAGGGAGGCCCTAATCCACATTTTTAAATGCTACAAAAAGCAACTTCAGACACTCCACCTACAGCTGTAACAACTTTTATAGCTTCAGAATCTTTGTTACATGTCCCTAACTGATGTAGCAATCAATTAAGATACATAATACTTAGATCTGATTCTTATATTTAGTCAAGGGAGGTAATCTTCACATATCTTCAGTCATATTTGGCTTCAATAATTAAACTGATATTAACTCTTATCACATGTAGTTCTGTTTGAGTAAAATCATAGGAATAGCATCCTAGGCTAGGCTGAGGAGAACATCTTCTGTGACTTCACTCTCCAACAACATTGTGTTAGTATGGATCACTCCTCAGCCAATACACATTATCTAGTGGTGCCACTGCACTAATTAGTTGTTCATATGCAATAGCAATATATTGTCTCCCACACATACTCAAATGCATGCTTAACAATTACATTGCAGGGCCTCCCTGGTGGTGCAAAGGGTTGAACACAACATTGTGAAGCTGTCCGTGGCCTCTGTAGCAATAGTACGATCCCTGGCTGGCCAGGGAGCTACCCACATGGCACAGCAGACCTCTCCTGACTCTCCCGCTGCTCCCCTCAGCAGAGTATTGCAATCAGTCTGCCTGTTCTGTTCACCACTCTGTCTCTGGTGAGTCCTCTCACCCGCCCCACCCCGTACCTCTGGCCTGTACCCCAGTTCTTGTATGCATAAATAAATCTTAAAAAAAAAAAATTACATTGCAGGGCCTCCCCTGGTGGCGCAGCAGTTCAGCGCCAGGCTGCGAAGCTACCTGCA